TATGTATAATAATCCTAACTATCTTCAACTTCAATCTAATCTGACTTATCCCACAAAATTTTCCAATTTTACTTTTTATGAAATAATGTCACAACTTATGGTTTAATATATATTAATATGTCGCAAAAATTTTTAAGGGGACGACAAATACATTTCACTGTCATATTATGACAGTGAGGCGTATTTGTCGCCTCCTGAAGAATTTTACGAATGTAGAATCCAACATATTAGAACGTGGGTATCTGACATATTTGGAAATATTCTCAAAAGCTTCCTAGAAGCTCCATAAGAAACCTTCTAAGAACATTCCAAAAACGTATTCTTAAAATGTGCTTAGAATGCTTTTTAGGAAGGTTTTAAGAAGCTTCTAAGAATCTAATTGCATCATTAAAAGGGTATCTATTGAATGTTTTAAAAGTCCCTAAGAACATTCTTAGCAATAAGGGAAGCTTCTAAGAATATTCCATTATTCCGGGTCATATCTTCTTAGAAGATTCTTAGAATCAAATTTTGCTATCAGGGTACAAATTCCCTAGAGAGACGCTGTTTGACTTAAACAGTTTAAGGTTATTTGTTTTATGATTGGCATTGTGACACAATGATTGTGTTCAAAGTTCTAGTATCCATTTTACTCATTAATTTTTAAATATCTCTACTAAATACCAAATAAACTTAGTGTTTACAAAATCGTATATTTTTCTTCGGTTGGTAGCACGGTAATAAAGTTTATTAAATAAACAGCAAGTTGTCTTGCCATTGCTGACTGTAATATAGACAGCATGTCTATATTACAGTCAATACGGCCTTAAAAACTTGATGGCCAGAAAAATTGCTGCAAGAAGAATTGCCGGCTGTAATACGGCCTTTAGAAGGTGCAAAGTTTTAGTGGTACTCTTAAAATATACTTAGAATGTTAAGAAAGTAATTGCTATAGAAAGTTCATTTAGGAATATTAAGCATATTCAGTTAGCTATATAATAGTAAAATATACCATAAACTATGTACAAAAGAACAAAACAAATTTTTATTCTTTATCAATTTGTGAAGTGGTATTAGGTATGTATAATATACATAAATAAATATTTAACATATGTTGGTTGTTGGTCAAAAATATACCAACAATTTTTTAACTGCATAGTGAATATACATATGTGCCAAAAATTAAATGTACCTATAAAAAATGGTGGTTGTATTGTTACGTTACATAACAAATAAATGTAGTACTATATTTACTTGTTTCAAAATTTATAAAAAAAATATTACAAACCTTTCATATTATTTTTATTTTTTTTTAACAAGCCAAAAATTACCATTTTCAATATATACATTAATATCTACTTACATGTAGGGATATTTTTACTAAATAACTTTATTTAATTTTAGATGCAGTGCAAGAATTTGACCATACCTGTACCAAAAAGCAAATTGAAATGCATTTTGGATATTGGTTAACAAAATCAAAAGAGATATTATATTAAAACAAATTCCTATTTAAATTTAAATGATTTGTTTTTAGAATACTGTTTTTTTTATAAAGAATTATTTTATAAGAAAATATTTTGTTTTTTTATATTTTATTTTATGTTAAAAATAAATATTTATTAATTTGTACACCGATTTTTTTTTTCTGAATTAACATTTGTATGCATAATAATCCTAACTATCTTCAACATATCAATCTAATCTTACTTATCCCACAAAATTTTCCAATTTTACTTTTTATGAAATAATGTCATACAACTTATGGTTTAGAGGTCAAATTGTTTATTTAATATTTTTAAATAAATATATTAATATGTCCAAATTTTTTTAAGGGGACGATAAATACATTTATGTCATATTATGACAGTGAGGCTTATTTGTCGTCTCCTGAAAAATTTTACGAATGTGGTATACAACATATTAGAACGTGGGCATCTGACATATTTGGGAATATTCTTAAAAGCTTCCTAGAAGCTCCATAACAAACCTTCTAAGAAAATTCCAAAAACGTATTCTTAAAATGTTCTTAGGATGCTTTTTAGGGAGCTTTTAAGAATCTAATTGCATCATTAAAAGGGTATCTATTGAATGTTTTAAAAGTCCCTAAGAACATTCTTAGCAATAAGGGAAGCTTCTAAGAATATTTCATTATTCCGGGTCATCTCTTCTCAGAAGATTCTTAAAATCAAATTTTGCTATCAGGGAGAGGAATAGCCCTAAAACTGATCTCAAGCTATCTTAATAATCGAAATCAATGTGTAATAGGAAAATCAGCTAAAGGCTTAAAATTAAAATCCAATCTTAAAATTATTGTACATTAATGTACAATAATTAATCTGCCGTGCTTAATGAAAACGCCGTAACCAACAATTTTGCGATTTTTGTTTTACGGCATTTTCTACTAGAACAATTTATCTTGCGTCTATTCCCGGTACTCAAAAAACCGTATATACAGGGTTCCCCATAATAGACTACCCATTTTATTTTACTAATAAATTTCCTACGAGATAACTAAATAAGTTGTTCTCTATGGGAATATCTTCTATAGTCTTTGGGATTTAAGTTAATTATTAATCAAGTAGGCGCCTGTCACAAATAAGTTTTAAATTAATAATTTCCTGGAACGTCATTTTTTTTACGAGAAGTTTGTTAGTTTTCATCAATAATTATTTAAGTTATTTAATTTTTTTGCTTTGAGACATTATTTCAACATCCGTTTGAACTTTCATGGATTACTCAGTCCAACAACGTGTGTTTTGTGTAGAAACTTACATAAGAAGCAATTCGATAGAAGAATTCTAACTTAAGTTAGGCGTGCATTCCGGCGTCAGTTTAATAACAACAATAGGGGTCACGCGCCAAATCGTAAAACTGTTAAGTTATGGGTTCGTCATTGGCGTGAAAATGGTTCTGTACAAAATTTGAAAAAGCCTGGCTCGTACACCAGAAAATATTGAACGAGTTAGAATTGCGTTTACGACTTTACCACTTTTTATCTAATATTGAAAAATGTGTTGAAGTTGGTGGAGGTCATTTAGAAGACGTGATTTTTAAAAGTTAGAATTAAATTAGCCAAATATTTATAAGTTATCATAAATCCCAAAGAATTAGCTGTAATTTAGTATAATAAAAAGTTTGTTTTGTTAACTAAAACATTTTTAATTCAAATTTTAAAATGGGTAGCCTATTATGGGGAACCCTGTATATAGATACGGTTTTTTGAGTACCGGGGATAGACGCAGGATGAATTGTTCTAGTAGAAAATGCCGTAAAACAAAAATCGCAAAATTGTTGGTTACGGCGTTTTCATTAAGCACGGCAGTAATGTTCCTGTTGTTCCTATGCGGATGATACCACACTTCTTATAAAGGAAAGCTCAATGAAAAAAGTTCAAAATAAAATATTAAGCTCACTTGATGAAATGGAAAACTGTTCTACCAACAATTATAATAATCGTATACGAAAAGTTAACACTTACCAGAAATAATATCATCCTTTCAACACAGGAGTCACAGAGGCTTTTTTAGGAAAAAATTGATTTTTTTTAAGTACCTATACACATTCAAAAAAAAGTAGCAATCAATAACTTAACATAATTTTAATAAAAAATATCCTTTTTTTCAAGCGGCCATGATATACAACCTTATATGCATGTATAGAGATAGTTAAAGTGCGTCTTTTTCATTAGCGGCAGACAAAAAACTCAAAAAAGCCTAGGGATAGAAGTAAATCCATAGGTGACTCAATAGACGTCAAATAATAAAATTAATTTAGCATTTCATACTAAGCAATCACGATGTATTAATTATATTAATTATAATCGCACCGAATATTTAGTGATTATTTATTAAATTTTAATTGAACGAAATAAAGAACAACTAGTTTATTAGTATAATATTATGATGATAGACGAGTCGCCAATGTCGGAATTTCAAACAAATGTCAGTACGTCAAAATTAATTCAAGCGCAGCATTTTGACAGAGCTGTGTTTATTTTTAGTTTAGGATATTTATCGGCATTGTAAGTAAGGGTTATAAGTTTTTTTAGTTTTTATCAATAATTTCTAATGCTTTTAGCCAAAATTTTATCCCACATGATTTAATTGAAGAGCTGCAGTGCGTGTAATTGTACATTTAATGTAATTTTTGCTTATTATATTTATATTACGCCCTTGAAAAAAAAATAGTATATGTTATTTGGAGTAGAAGCTCTTTTTGTGCTTCGTACAGCTACGCTTCGGCCGTCAATCTCTGTACTCACCACAAAAAGAGTCACTTCTACTCCTTATGACATAATCTACTATTATATAAAAAAAACCTAAACATTGAATTAAATTTAATTGATTTAAGAAAATAAACGTAAACGTGAAATATACTGTCTGTTGTTTTTTTTTTGCAAAAAGGGGCCCATTAAAATTATCCAACTACAAAATAATGATAAAATTATAATTTTATAAATCGAAGTGTTAAATAAAATAATAATAATAATAACGTTTATTGAGTGAAATAAATGTAAATTTACATAATAAAATAAAATAAAAAATAAAATGTATGATAATACAGCACCGAATATGTTTTTTGCGGCCCGGTAGAATATTGCCAAATTAAAATAAAAGAAATAATTATTATAATCATAATATTATGATGAGCAGCGTCGGAAATTCACTTTTTTCAGTGTACGGATATTACCCGTAAAAATTTGGAAATTTTTAGAAAAATTGACTTTTGCATTTTTTCTTACCTATTACCCTTTGAATAATATTTAAAATATGAAAAAGTCAATTTTTCTGAAAATTTCCCAATTTTTCTTTTTTTTTCCGCTAAAAATCTGTTTTTCCCTGGCTCAATTTTTTAATACCCTATAATTAATATAAATAAGGATGAAGCTTTCTGTGGGTATAGCAAAAAAATTTGATTTTGTATATACGTTTAGGGGACGCTTTTTTTAATAGAAAAGCCAAAACATCATTATAATAACTATTTTCTAGTTAAAGGGTGAAATTAAAATGAAACTAGATTTGTGTTAGAACCGCTATTAATATTTATTTTTTTAAAAAAATTACATTAAAGCAGAATAAAGTTATACCTGGTGCACATGATTATGCACATTTTTATAATTAAATGACAATAATGTAATAATTTTTTAAAGATTAAAATAGACCCATCGTTTAAGAAATTAAATCTTTTTTATTTAAAGATTAATTGCCTATCACAATGCGAACTTTAGCAAAATGAAATAATGCTGCTTATGGCAATATTAACATGTACTTTACAAATTTAAATATTTTAATCGAAAAAAATATACTTAGGTGATGGCTTAATTTGTGGTTTTAATTATACAATATATTTTTAGTTAAATATTATTATGTATTTTTTCGCATTAAAATATTTTATATTGGTAATGACGTGGTTTATGGATTTTATTAATAGTGACTGGCCCTGTTGCCTTTTTAAATTTTAACTTATCTAAAACCTAATTTATAACTGATCCATTTTTTATTGCCAATTTATTGTAAATGAAAATGGTTTTGAGTGTTTTTGGTACCTTGAGCAAACTTTTAGTTATTTTAAGTCAGTTATAATTTAAGTTAAAGATAGTGTTAACATTACCCTGATAAATAAAATGTAATGAAAAAATGTAGTCTTAAATAGTAAATTATGGTCCCAGATGTGCTGTGATGTTAGAGAAAGAAAATTTTAGCCAAAAAGCTTTCGTTGACTTAATACAATAAATATAATCTAAAAGAATCATATTTCCTGAACCAAACAAACGGCAAATTTATAATCTTAAGACATCTGGATGAGAAAGTAACAAAGGTACAAATAAATGTGTGTGATATTGTGCGTTGGTTTTAAAATTAAGTTTAGGTAATGTTAACATTATGTAAAGTTTTTCGATTTAAAAGGTAAAGGTATTCGGTGTGATATGCAAAATGCACCCAAAAGAAATCAGTCCTACTTTAAATAAGATTGAATTTACTTTTTAATCTTATAAATCTGAATATAATTATTATTATTTTTAGTTTCTATATTTATCTAAACTCTAAAGTACAATTAACACTTAATTAATTACTATTTATAACAATATTTTGCATAATCATCGTTTTGGAATAGAACTAGCATAAAGGTAACAGTGCTTAACATTTAAGTTGCAACTTGTATGCAATAAATACCTAAATACTGCTTTTAATGCCTATAAAAGTAAAATCAACCTGCAAAAGTATCTATTTTACAACGAAACATTATGTACATAACTCATAAATAAATAACTTTTATCTCATTCGTTCCTATCACAACACGAAATATTGTATGTAACATACATACGATTATTTTTCATACATTACAATAATAACAAGTATATTTTATTGTATAGCATCGGACTTAATTTACATATAATTATTGTGTTTATGCTTAACAAATCGACGCCTAAAGTTGAACAAACATTATTTCCAAAATTGTTGTAAGTTGGAAAAAATGGCGGTTCTAAGCTGAAATCACCTCACGAGGCTGGCCAAATAATACAAAAGCTTCCTAATTTAAATTATTTCTAATTATACAGACGAAATTAAGTTATCCTCAATCACTTTAACACGTAGGTAAGTACGATTAAACAATGAAATATTTCTTCACAAAAATATTTTTTTGTTTATAAAAATAACTACTAGAACTGGCTAGGGTTTGTGTATTAACTAATTAATATGCTAGCTAGACCGTCCCTCAATAATAATCTAATTAAGAAATATATGAGCCCCACGGTTTTTATTTTAATTTTTGATGGCAGTTGTTGAAAGCCTCCATCCGACCCTAAAAATCGTTGGAGCCTACAGAATAATGCGCTTCTTAGTCTACCATTAATTCGAAGTGGACTGATCCTCTGCGATCCACACGGTCGTGGTGAACGTTCTTAGCCCAGGCTTTGCACTCAATATTGATCAATACTCCACCTTAAAATTTTATATAAAAAAACATATCATTAAAAGTGTGTAGTCAAAATTATTAATAAAAAACAGCTCACAATTTTATTTTGTTTGAGACAATTTTTAACCAATTTTTTTAAACAAGAAATTTAGTACTTTTAAATATAGGTACTACAGGCTGTAACTTAAACGCTTGGTCAAACATTAATAACGGGATTTATGGAACAAAACTGCAGCAAAGGGGGCTACAAATGCTTAATTATGCTTAAAATATTATTATTATTATTTAAAGGTCCTTACAAATAAGTAAAAGGGTATCTATTTTTAACAAATATTTAGAAGGGCGATTTATAGAAAAGTTTCTATAAGTACTAGTGCTGAACATAAGATCCGGATCCTTTTTCAATCCGGATCTGATCCGGATTTTTCAACGTCCTTAATCCGGATCTATACTGATATAACACTCCGATTTCTGAACATCAGATCCGGATCTTTTTCATTCCGGATCAGATCCGGATATAATTCTCGAATTTAAGATCCGGAGCAAAGGTCCGAAATCCGAATATACAACTCCAGATCTGAGATCCAAATCTAGGATCTAGATCTGAGATCCGGGCTCCGAGTCCTAGATCTGGATCTGCGATCCGAATCGTAGATCCCAATCCGGTTCCTATTTTTAAATCCGGATACGGATACATCCAGATCTGTTTTTTTTAAGGATCCCCGATCCGTAAAAAATTCGGATATATGCACCACTAATAAGTACCTACCTACTATTTTAAACATTTGATAAACACCTTTTACTAGTAATTATATATAATAATATAATAATTACAATTAAAATTAAAAGGCATTTCTCAAATGTTTAAAATATTCGCCATTTTATTAGTATTATTAAGTAGTTAAATAGCCCTTCTTATTCTAAATATAAAAAAAGTTGTTATTTTTTGAAAACAAAACTGAATATTCAAATGTTTTGAGGCACCCATTATCATAAAAAAGTAATTTCGTTTTTAAAAGAAGTTTTTATAGATTTTGAACAAAGAAACAAACGTACTATAAAAATATAGTAATTAGTGGTACCTGGTATAGTATACTAACAAGTTTGAGTTTCATCAATGTTTTAGATAAGTTGTCAAAATAGAAAATAGTGCAGTACATGTAGATTTCGGATTTTATTTTAATTTTTTTTTTATTTATTTTGGTTGCACAAAAATATGACGTTATTCTTTTTAAAACCGTTTGAAAAGTAAATAGGTTAAACAATGACTGAGTTAAAAATTTAGTGATAGGGCCAAATCACCGAAAAATGTTTTTTAACAATGTTAAGGTTATACAGTTTTCTGCGGTACTTAACCTATATTCCAGTTATTTGAGAAGTTCAATTTATTTTGTAGCATTAATATATTAATTATAATTATAATTATAATTATAATTGTTGAGTAAATAATAACTTACGTCTTGGTTCCTCAAAATAAACGGCAACTAAAGGACTCAAATATCCATATTCATTTTTGAAAGGAAAATATTGTGATGGAAAGCCTCTGGCAGGAATAAATCTGATTGAACCGATGTTTTCTTTGTCAGCTGGATTTTCCCCTTCGCATGTTACCCACACCATGTGGTGCTGAGAAAAAAATTTAATCAATTATATTATTATTATTAGTATTATAGTAGTATTATTAATAGTAGTATAATAATACTATGCTATAGCAATAAGTAGTAAATCAATACCTTTTGTTGTTTTTCAGCATCAACGATAACCTTTTTCAAGTAAGCTGGCATAGCCTCATCACTTTGAGGCAGCGTTGATGTATTGTAGTATTCTGGTACCCATCCATAAATCTACAAATTTTAGTTTAGTTATGTTTTGCTATGGGCGTTATAATAATTACCTACCTTATTTAATTTTAGGAAAATACATGGTCCACTCTTGTCATTCTCGAAGCCATAACTCATTTCTTGAAGACATGGACTCCACTGCTGGTTCATATTTACATCACATACTTTTCCTTCGCTTGGTCTTTGGAATGTGTTGCATTGTTCTACGTTATTGTAGTGAGGATTATTTTCTTTTTTGTATGCTAAAATATATTAACACATAAATTGATTTCTTTTAACATTTTTTTGTACTTACATGTAAGGAATGCGTTTAATTCTCTCTGCCAATACTGTACATTGCCCTTATCACTAGATTTGTACCAAATTAATGTACTATCTACGTTACTCTCTGGGGGCATAGGCCTAAATCCAAGACCTAAAACATTCATTAATTAATAATTTTTAATAAGATATATGGATACAGTCGCGCACCACCTTGAAGGTGTATGATCTACGAACCCCAGATATTCCAGAAAATTGTAAAAAATCTACCTTCCTTATTTAAAAAGATACAGGGATATATATTTTTTTAAATACAGGGATACATATTTTTTTAAATTGCGTACTAATAAATTGGTAAATTAATTCTTAATCATCATGACAACAAGCAACAATCATGAAGTACCGGATACCTGAAGATCAAGCTTAGATGGAGGGGTCAAGAAGTAATGACTACAAATCTGTCCATTGAAATGCCGGACTGCCGTTACGGCAGTAGGTACGGTACCTAGTGCCTTTGTGCGCAAGCGCCAATCCATCATTCCATAATTAATTCGTAATTCTTAAAACACGGTGTAAATATAATTACCGTATTAACAAGTTGCTATTGTCTACCCAACTGGGTTGACAGAATAACCCAAATTTTTGCTACTGTCCACCCGAACGGGTGAACAGTACACCTTTATTTCTTGGCGTATATGAAAGCAATCTGTGAAAAGTATCGGAAAATATGATTTAAATCGTATAGTTTCCTTTTTATAGGTGTGCTTAACAGGGCCGGCGTTAGCTTATTAGAGGCCAGGTGCAAAGGAAAAATGCGGGGCTTGAACTTAAAATAAAAATTTACTCTTGAAAATTAACATAGCGCCTAGCGGCAATAAACTAATAAATCATCAAACGATAGAGCTGAAACCGCCCAAGTGCATTTTTAAGTCAAAATTTCTTAAGCATATTAGCGGATAGTAGAAAATTTTGGCTTAAAAATGCATTTGGGTGGTTTCAGCTCTGACCCCTTCAATTAATATGGAAATTAACGTTTAAGAAAAAATCACACATATGTTTTCCGTGCTTTGGCGGAAGCAAAGGCGTCAATGGTTTTTGAAGTCATATCCAGTTCTCTTCCAACATCCTTCTCTATTGACAATATAGCCAAACCCACTAGTCGTTCTTGGCACATACTTGATCTTAAATAATTTTTTATTAATTTTAATTTTGAAAAACTTCTTTCCGCAGAGGCAACCGTGACGGGCAAGGTAAGTAAAATTCGAATTGCGACGCAGATATTTGGATAGGCCAAAAACAGCTTTGTAGTTTGAAGGTATTTTAGTATGTTTAAGAGCAAACTTTGGTTGATTTCAGGAATTATTGGAATTAAAGATGTTAGTTCTTCAAACAATTCTAAGTAATCAATATCGGAATCGGCATTTTCCGCGGATAAAACAGAATGTAGGTTTTTGCAGTTATTTTGCAATTCTTCATCGGGAAGATCTTTGATTTTTGTAAATTCATACATAAATCCAAACTTTTTCCTAATACCCTCATATAATTTAAATCTTTTCTTAAAGGATTCTATTGCTCTATCAAGGACTAATAGGAAGAATTCAACACGAAAATGTTCTTCTTTGTCCTCGAACGTTTCATCTGTACCTTCATAGTCAAAAGATTTTTTGACTCTTCTACAAAAGATATTATCTCTGGCATCGACCACATATTATGTTCAACATAATATGTTGTCGCGCGGCGCTTACCGGTTGCCAAAATGTACAATAATTTCGTCGAGACGCCTTGATGCGCGCGGGGCCTATAAAACGCGGGGCCGGGTGCACCGCACCGTGTGCACATGCCTCACGCCGGCCCTGGTGCTTAATTATTTTTCTACAACCAAGCGAAAAGTACAAATTTGCGCTTCCAAAAAGAAAGCGCAAAGTTGGACTTTTCCGAGGAGCGAGCGTTTTTTTACTTTGTCGCTCGCTTAGTTACCATGGAAACCATAATAAAGAAACGTTTAGTGTATTTGCGACTTTTGACATAAAATTCAAATTTGAGGTTATCAATAATTATTAATTATTACCAAACATTCTTATAGAAACACCGGTTGTAGAAAAAATCCTGTGTGTAATTCGAGCGCAAAGTGACATTGCCGCTCTCGCGAGATAGCCGTGCTCAGAGGGGCAATGTATCACTTTGCGCTCTTAATACACAAATAGCTATTGTACGTACTGAGCGCTCTTTTGTTAGTTTTTCATTCTTTAAAATTGAAGGCTTCTGTCTATGTATTGTCCACCCAAATGTCACAGTACAGTGTCCTATATTAAGTACCAGAGTGAAGTTAGATTATAATTTTAATTCGTTTTTTTTCTTTTGAAATGGATATCCAAATAAATAATAATTATTATAATTAATGTAAAAAATATTAAAAATTTTAATAAACAGATTTTGTATTTAAATTGTTTTTTAATTTTATTGTCTATCCATTTGGGTGGACGCTACTAGTAAACAACACCCATTTGGGTAGACAGGTTTAACCATAGATAAACAAACACAACACACTGTTTAAAATATCTGTGGTGTGAAGAGTAATCTTAAAATGGTGTCAAAATCCAACACCAAGTGGTGTTAATAAAACACCATGAATTATGGTTGAAAATGTTTTATACAGCAAACACCAAAAAGGTGTTTATCTAAAAATATTTGAGAAGTGCACCTACACAGAAAAAAAGGAATAGTTCAAGGAAGGTTAATATAAACAAAGATTAGTTTGACGGTACTAAACCAGATAGTTATTTTTTTTTTTTTAAATTGGGTAAATTAACCCAGAAAACTTTAGTGAAACCAACACGCTGTATGGTTCAGTTTACTAAATATGTTGTTTGTAAAATAAGAGTTACTTCAACCTAAAGCACTCTGTTAAAACGATTAAAACAATTTGCCGTGCATTCCTTGTTGCATAGTTTGTACCGATCGCGGCAAAGGCGGTGTGGATCACGTGATGTTCTTAAATCTCGCCTCTGTTGACTTACATGAAGACTATATAAGCTCAGGTAGTCCTTTGCTTTGGTGTGACACTAAAAGTTATTCGATACTAAAGAGACCTTAAATAGGTGGAAACAGCTGTTAATATTTAAAGTATTTTAAGTTGGTGGAACGCACTAAAAACATTATCTCTAGCGAGTTGAAGGTTCAATTTTCTGGAATAATACCACTGGTAATATACTTGTAATGCGTCAAGGAACTTCCTGTTTCCTTTTTTCCTTTTTTTCTGTGTAGTATGATTTAATTTGACCAAAAACACATAATATTTAACACTGAAAAGGAGTTCAATTTACACCAGGTAAAATTTATTTTAATACTGTGTGAAAGTTAAATTTAACCATTTTAGTATTTGAATTTACACTGGACCAACGAACACCATTTAACACCATTTTGGTTTGTATCGATATAGACCATGTATGGTGTTAATTTGGTGTTAAAATGGTCATGAAATTTTGAACAGTGTATGGATTTATCAATCCAAAAAACTTGTTAATTTCATAAGGAGTACATGTGTCTACCCAATTGGGTGGACATGGCAGTCAACGTGTTAACAAATTAGTTAATTTACCGTACATTTGCGTACATTATTTAGGTATGGACTGTATACCGTAATTTTATTCAAATTACTGGATAGATACGGTAATTACCGTAGGTACGTATTTGTAGCCATCCGCCTCCACCCGAGTTTGATCTCTAAGTTTCTATAGTCTTCAGGATCATTTTATATAATTGTTGACATTTAATTTAACAAACATACAGGTTGTTTATTTAAAATCAAGCAATGTTCTATAAGTCTGGGCCTAAACCGTTACTATGATATGTAGGGAGAATATGACCCGAAAATGACCTTCAATAAGCAATCCATGTAGGTACTGTCCGTTCAGGCTAAGTTGAGCGGTCTAAGGAATGTCACCCCGTCCATCATCTCTATGTTCAGGCACAATTAAATACATGTATTTCGGTAGCCGCTCTGTACGAACAAACGGCAAGCCGTGGCACTGATAAATCATCTTCTTGTTACCGAAATCTCGCGACGATTCGATGTTTTATTTAATTAACGGCCACATGATCCGCCACCAAAGCGCTCAACTTAACCTGAACGGACTGTACAACAATTTTTACAATAAATTTATTAGTTCATATTTTTTTTTACAAAAGTAAGAACGGGCAAAAAGGGCAAATTTATTTATATTTTGCCATTCTTTTGTTTTTCCAATATAAAATATGCGACAAATCAATTTTAAAAAGTATAGGTAAGTTTAAAAATAATCTATACGAGGTGCTGTAAGCCGCTAATCCAACATAACTCTGGCCAAAAAGGCTGAATTATAAAAATAAAAAAGAATTGCCCTTTTGGGTATACCCACAACATTTATTTTATGCTTCTAATTATTTTTGTTTTTCAAATGAAAATTTATTTTTTATAAATTTGAATGAATTAATTAAACTTAAAAAATTGCTTTAGTACATACAGCACAAAATTGTCTAAAAGATGAAATATTTTTAGTTAGTTTAGTTAGGCATAAGTCCTCTAAAAGCCCCGAATGTCCCGGAGTTTTTTTTATGCCTAAAATATGTCTTTGAATTAACATCTTTTAGAAGACGTTGACATGAAAACATCTCTTAAATATCTTAAAGACAACTTAAATAAGTCATTAATTTACTTTACTTAAACAACATTCTATGATATTGTTTTGTTTGTTTTATTTTGTTTTTAATGTTTTACATTTTCTGGCTTTTTAAATAAATAATTAACAATTTAAATAATATATATAATAATCTACAATAATTGTCCTACCTGGATTACTTCCGATTAACGAACTGTCTAATTGCCATTTGGGTGTCCTAGGATCTAAAGTTTGATAAAATACTGCTACAAGTGCGGTGAAAAATCCTATCAACACAGCGTAGAAAATAAAATAGAATAGTAGGATTTTACCTGAAAATAAAAAAACATATGATAGCAATAACATTATATAATTTATATTTTATTAAACACAATGTTTGTGAGTGTGTAATTTTTCTTATACATAAAATTATTATTTTTTCCGTACAGAATAAACGATAGATTGGAAAGGTCTTTCTAATTTATTTTTAACTAAAAAGGTGGCCTTTTAAGTCCTTTTAACCCTATTTTGAAATTCATAAGCAAACCGATCGACCAAGAACGTCATTTTTGTTGGCGTACTTACTGCCACAACACAGTTTCAATCAAAGATACATTATTAAATATAACGATTTTTAAATTTTATTACTGGCACGACTTGAGTCATCAAAAGGTGAAGACGCCATCGCTTCTAAAGAGTAAAGTAAAAAAAGCCTTTTAGAATCAGTAAACCGCACACAGTGTAGTTAAGTTTGTTAGACAATTTAAGTGTATACAGTGCGAAATTGGAGCCTAGCAAAGCGATAATACTACTGTACAATGCCATAAAACCTCCTAACAAGTGAAGAATGTACGAAATCAGTTATACTACCTGTGCAGATAAATTCAATGTACCAGTATCCCGAAGGAATCAAAGATAGGGTCAAGTGGATCGCAGCAACAAAAGATAAGTTAAATAGATTTAATTCGCATGATTAAACTTGCATTCTCTACTAAGAATACCGAATAGGTTAAGCGTCTTCAACGCATCCAAACCAGGAAAACAAAACAGCCAAGCAAGGAAAAGAGATTCCCACTGGACAGAAAATGTAATTATTCGTAATATAAATCGGTACAAAACAATCATAACGCAGCACCAAAACTAAACAGTCGTGCAGCGCAATATAACATGATAACATAATATAACATGAAAACATAAACAAAAGTTCAGTTACCTAGTCAACAACAATAAACACATAATAAACATATCTCTAAAAAGGTTTTTACTGAAATAAAGCGAAGGCTACGCACAGTGGAAAATGATTTTTGCATACTTCGGTAATAATCATTAAAAAAATCAAAAACTATCAAAATATATTGGTAGTGCCATTGCCGACTAGCGAAAACTATATCGATAGTTCTCGACCCTAGACGGAAAAAATGGTTTCGCACAGTGGGGCAAACAATTTGCGTACATCAGTTTTCAGTAGACACGGACGCAAACGAACATGTAGTACTACTATACCAGCAAGGATAGGTCCAAGCAGCGAACTAACCAACCTAGCCCCATTCATGAACCCCAATTAAGTGGGGGTATTACTAATTATAATGCTGGTTTAGGGGGATTCCGGATTGTACTTAGTTTTGGCTCAGTCCAATGTCCCCCAAAAACCAAAATATTTTCCCTTCTTGTTCCGCACTCCACCAACCTAAATCCGGGGTGAACATTCCGATCTATCACACATGTAGTTACGGGATACGTATGAGAACTCAAAGATGGTAAAAATAACTCCGGGAGATCAGTGTAAGGCGATGCCGATGGGGCCAGCCATACGTTCTCATACTCATACTCATAACGAATTTTAAATTTTTTAATTTTATTTCCAAATTATAAAAAAGTTATTAAAGCTTAAGTTAATTTAATAAAATTTACCAATTACATTAAATGGTGGTCACAAAGAATTAAGCCTTTAAATTAAATTTAAGTAAAAGTATTACTAACAAAATTTAAAAGTTATGCTTTTACTTCAATTAAATTAAATTTAAAAATGCAAATCCTTGTGACCACCATTTATTCTAATTGGTAAATTCTGTGCTAATAAAAATATCACTATCATACAATCTTGAAAAATAGATCAACTTATCTTTTGGAAATGTAACCGTATTTAGGTCGGTTAAACTTTACTTTGGATACATATAACGAAAGGAAGAGAGATGGACTGTGAAAGAAGGGAACGCACGTATTGCGATCAATACTAACTCAAATATGGAAGCTTAAAAATGTTCTCTTTCGGATAATTTATTTAGTGGTTTACTTATCTCTTTTAAGCAAACAGTTTGATCTTGAAGTTACCAATGAGATCAGCATATAAATTTATGTCGTGTTTAAACTAAACGAACATTCTAATTTTAATACATTGTCTGTAATAGCTATTATTGTAAAACTAACTAATTTGTAAGTTATAATATAATGTGAGTGATATATCACTTTTACAAAAGTATTTTAGCATTCAGATCATATTCAAATCATAAAAACTTTATTTACAATTCTTTATTTTCTTATAAAACCTACCATTAATCTCTAATTTATTATTAATTATTTTTCCCAAATAACGTAAAATATCATTTTTTTTTAAATTCATATAAACATAATGTACATATTGTAGACTCAGTGACTAAAACCCAAAAAGGTGTTTCAAAATCAAAGGTAATAAAATTTCTATAAATTTAAAAATGGTTTTCTTTAAAAATTGTTAGAGAATTTGAGCACAATTAAAGGATTTGTGGGCGTCCATAAATGTTGGTCGAAGAGAAGAAGGATTAGCATTTTTAAAAACGACGTGACTCCCGTCCCGAGGCGGGACTTAACTTCGATCCCGACTGACGTCACACAAATAAAATGTTCAAATAAAAAAATTATCAACGAAAATAGTTAACTTGAAAAACGTCAAAGATCTTACACTAAAGTATTATCACTTAAGCACGTTCAAATCTACAGATAAAATAAACAACTCAGGCTATAAATTAATTAATTATTTTTTACCAAAGAGGCCACACCTATTAAGAAGCTATATATTTTGTAAACAAAAAAAATAAACATGGGACAACTCCCAGGTAGCATAACGTGACGAAACCGTGACCTATGCTCAGGATTTGTGGGCGTCCATAAATGTTGGTCGAAGAGAAGAAGGATTAGCATTTTTAAAAACGACGTGACTCCCGTCCCGAGGCGGGACTTAACTTCGATCCCGACTGACGTCACACAAATAAAATGTTCAAATAAAAAAATTATCAACGAAAATAGTTAACTTGAAAAACGTCAAAGATCTTACACTAAAGTATTATCACTTAAGCACGTTCAAATCTACAGATAAAATAAACAACTCAGGCTATAAATTAATTAATTATTTTTTACCAAAGAGGCCACACCTATTAAGAAGCTATATATTTTGTAAACAAAAAAAATAAACATGGGACAACTCCCAGGTAGCATAACGTGACGAAACCGTGACCTATGCTCACAAATCGTCACGGTTTCGTCAAGTTTTGCTACCTGGGCTACAATTGTAGACGTTTAACATCAATAATAATACCTAAACTGACACAATCCAATAAATCAACAATACACAATGGAAACAGTTTGCACCTCAGAATCTACAGTAGTAGTCATAAAAATACCTTCCACTGGTAATTGCCCAGTGAAATTATTAGTTCATCAGCTGTTTCACTAATACTTAAACAGCGCGAATAGAAACCTAAACGTCCTTCAGGAACAATCGCCCAGCGTACTGCTTGAAGGCAAAACAATCACAAAACGCGTCAGGGTGGCACAACTAAAATATTGGGAGCATGCCAAACGTAGACAACCACAATACATGCCACCTCGACTCCTTGACAAAAGTCGGCAGACCGTTCCACGATAATCTAGCCCAAACGATCCGCTACTAAAAATTGACCACTACCGATGGAAACATATCAGTACCAAAAAAAATGCGGATAACAACTAAATCATTGTATCAACTTCCGGAATACGACTGTGACAGAGACACGGACCCAGACGAACAAGACTACAAGACTAGCAAGGTTACAGCGTACTAACCCACCAAGCACATTTATAAACCCCAATTGAATCCCTGGTCGAAGCGGACTCCGGATGGGTAGATGGGTAGATGGGTCTTCCAAAAACCAAAAGGTTTTCTCTTCTTGTTACGAACTCCACTAGCCTAATCGGGCGTATAGCCCAGCCCGGCGACAAAATTTCAGGAGGGGTCTCCACGATCTCCTAAGGGGGATTTACAAACCGACAGATAATGCTTTGCAGTTGCGGGATAAGCAGTAGAATTGAAAGTGGGTAAAAATACCTCTGGCGAGATCAGTGATGCTGGCTATACTTTCCTTTCCTTTCCGTACATAAAAACTTAACGAAGCTTAAAGAAGCTTTTAAAATAAAAATATAAAACAAAATTAAATCCAGCAAATGTTATTTGGTACCAAATTACTCAATCGTGTTGCTTGAGTAATATTTGCAGTTAAATTGTATGGTTGTGGTAATATCACAATATGGTATGCCAACCGAGTAAAAAGAACCTTTTAAATTTAACTTGTGAATTAATGAACTCGCAAGATATAAATGTCCTAATTTTTTTTCAGAAAAGTTTGAAAAAGCCTAATTTTAAAAATTAAAAATAATCAAAACAAAATCCGAAAAAAACAATTTTTTAGCTTGAAAAAGTCTTATTTTTGAATTAAAGCAAATTAAAAAACGATTTATAAAAATGAATTTAATTTAATTTATTATTTATATTTTTAAACTTTTTGTTAAAAATATGGAAAACAAAGTTTTCGTGAAAAGGCAAAAAATATTCGGCAAAATCTAACCTCTAGTGGTATTACATTCGACTTTTACTTGAAATTTTTATTGACATTAAGCCCACAAAATTCAATGCAATGCATAATTTTGCTTTAAGGGAATTAGACTTTATGAAAATTTAATTTGTACTGGTTTTTAATCTTAAATTTATTAAATCGTATCAAATATCAAATTTAATTATAGTATTAATGTGCTTCGTACGTCTTTTGTTGCAAATTCCAGCAAATGTATCCTAGCAATGAATCCAACTTCTTTTTTCTATACCAATGCTCTAGATTTACAGTTACTTGGTGAAATCATTCTCCATGTTCATCAGATTTAGTAGGTGACTGTCTGGCAAATTTATCGGAATGAATACTTATGAAGAAAATGTATTTTTAAAGACATTAGCGTCAATTCTTTAAAAAGTGGAGAGCATTTCTTGAATGATTAGGCGCCAATCTTTGGCCCGATATGATATGATTAAGACATTTAAGATTAGAGA